AAAAACTACTGAACGGATTTTGATGAAACTTTACATTAGTATAGCTTATCCATCAGAATAACACATGGGCTCTATTTTTTTATTGAAATTTAACGTGGGTGAAACCGCGGCCATAGTTAGTATTAAATAAATGAAGGGAAGGAAAGGAAGGTGATAGTTAGTAATGTGGACTGATGACTCCATAGCAATGTACTAGTTTGACCTCCATGTGGTTCTTCCCGGACACCATCGTAATAAATTCCTGGTGTGTTTGTCACGATGGGCCTAACTGACCTGACCTTATGCTCATCTTATCCTTCACTGGTGCCCCGCCAGAGTAAACCGTTAGCGCAGGCGGGTGCACCATTCCATTATCACTAAATCACCCGAGCGCAAGGTCATAAAAGTCAATTCGTTTTTCTATAGCAGAAACCGTCACTCTTTCATTTAACTTCACGTAGCGCAGGCGGGTGCACCATCCCATTATCACTAAATCACCCGAGCACAAGGTCATAAAAGTCAATTAGGTTTTCTATACCAGAAACCGTCACTCTATCATTTGATCTCACGTAGGACAGGCGGGTGCACCATTCCATTATCACTAAATCACCCGAGCACAAGGTCATAAAAGTCAATTAGGTTTTCTATACCAGAAACCGTCAGTCTTTCATTTAACTTCACGTAGCGCAGGCGGGTGCACCATTCCATTATCACTAAATCACCCGAGCACAAGGTCATAAAAGTCACTTAGGTTTTCTATACCAGAAAACTTCACTCTTTCATATGACCTCACGTACTATACAAAGCGTTCTTTGAATATAAAAGCAGGTTACTTTGAAGTTAGTTAGTGTACACAGTCAACGGAAAAAGATCAAAGGTAGTGCTAAAGTGTTTGTTTTATTCATAGCATCGATGCAGTTTCCTTAAGTTCAAGGTGATAATGATCAATTTAGAAATTATGTTAATGTCACAAATGGTGCCAAAATAAACAAAACCAATATAGTACAATGAAATTGCATAAAATGTGATATAGTGGGTGTAGTGTGTAGGGTTGTTAGAAACATCAAATCCGGGACAATTCTAGGACAACGGTGTCGGGTCGTTGTCATAGTAAAAAGTGTCTAGTTTCGTATTTCAAAGGATTTATATTTGTATTTGAAAAGGAAAATGCCATTTATTCTCAAATACATACTTTTATTAGATAGGTATCTACGTACATAGTAGGTAATTACTGACAGCTATAATTTTAAGACGCAGTTTAGACTTAAAACTTTGGTAGTAAATCAACACATTAAATATGAATAACGCGCCGCCCGCACTCAGGTAGGCCAGCCGCGCATTCGACGTTAATTTGTTTATAAAACTAGTAGGTTCTCAGAATTCGGGACAATAAGGTCTAATTACTGGACACGGGACGCAAAATTCCGGGACAATCCCGGATTTCCCGGCCATGTGGCAAGCCTAGTGGTATGTGGTGATGGAAGTTTGTATTGAAGTACTGTTATTTTTAAAGCTTTTAAAAGCTTTAAACTTATTTTTTAGGCTCTAGATTAAATATAAATAATATGACATTTAAAATTTGTAAAACGACTAAATGACATTTAAAATGTTATCCTTAAGAGGGCCATAAATTACAATTCGAGTTGTCACGATTGGCTAACTGATCTAAACTCATAAATGTTTGCACCGTGCGAGGAATCAAACCCGCGACCAACTAAAGCAAAGCGGTATGCTTAACCACTAGACCACCGAGGCCGTCGTATGTGTTGAGCCCAGATTATTTTGAGATGGACACCTATTTAGTCTACATTGCTTACGGAAATATATAAATAGAAAATCGTGCCGAGTTCAATGATCCCACTCTCGTATGTTACAAAACTGTGGGGATAGGTAATGTCAGTAAATTGCTTACTTAACCTAACATTTAGCTAAAAAGGATTTTATGTACGTAGCTTTAAATATTAAAATTGTTTGAACCGAATGCATCAATCTTTGCAAAGATTGATACGTTCCGAGGAAAGCCAAACTAATTTAATTCATTTCCTTTAATACAAATAGTACAATGAACGTATTGTTGAATATTTACACTCAGTTTCAGCTGTTTTTAATGTGACACAGTTGCAATTCGGGAGCAATATAAATGTGGATGGTTATAAAGGCAGAAGAAGGCCGAAAAAGAGATGGATGGACTGTGTGAAAGATGATATGGTAAGAAAGGGAGTAAATAAAGAGATTACTTCGAGCAGGGATGAATGGAAGAGGAAAACATTTTACGCCGACCCCAAATAGATAGCATAAGGATAAAGCTGGGATGATGTGTTGCAATTCACTATTGTAGTAGATTATAATCGATAGGTTTGCTCATATCTCATATGTTTAGTCCCAAGCTAAGCTGAGCTTATGTGCATTAGTAGATAAATAATTATGCATATATATATTTTAAATATCATTAACGACCCGCAATTACTTTACGACCCTCACTTACAAATCTTTGAAATTCTCGTCTTGTTCTATACTATGACACGCATGTATTGCACATATGAATCTTCCTCTTGAATCGCTCTATCTATTGCTGCAACTGCATTAAAATCCGTTGCGTAATTTAAAAGATATAAGCTAATAAACAGCGGCGGCGACTTTGTTTTATTCTGTAAAAATATACATAGAAAACTCTCCAAATCAAACAATCGTACTCATAAATTCAATGTTTATACCGTCCGAGAAATTGAACCCGCGACTATTGGAACTAAGGCTTTGTGCTAAACCGTTGGACCACCAAAGCCGTCACATAACACACATATCAAAACAAAAGTGATATTAAATACTGACTCTGTACTAAAAACATACAAATGTTTATAATTAATGAAACCGGAGGCCGCGCTATACGCACACTGATAAGGATTTTGATAACAGTTTGCTATTGCAGTAATTAGATTACAACAGACTTTATTGAGTAGTAGCAGTATCGGTGATTCAGTATCTATTGTCTGCCATTGAAATTTAATCTATTTTTTACTTATTTCAAATTGGCGGCCCGGGCGATTGCGTCTGCGTTACTGTTTTTGGAATATTTTCAATTTACAAAGTTACAAAAGTTCTGAATATTATTTGCTTAGCTAGTTTATTATTTGTTTAAACATGTGATTTTACATAACAAAATAATCACAGCCTACTTTTAATTAATATATGTACCAAAATAATCACTTCCTATGTGGTAACAGCCCACTCGTGCATAAACGAAATATCTTCTTTGGAAAGTATACAGTACTATACAGTGTATCCTGAGGATATATAAACCATCGCACCTAAGAATATCCTTCAATTATTGTCCCCGATGGGTCGTGAAATTTGAGGAAAAGCCGATTACTGTAGATGCAGGTCGCAGTGCTACAGGTTTTAGCACCTGACAATAGCCCAAAATGCTTAATTAAAAATAAAAAACAAAGTAATCCGAGAGACGGAGATGGGTTCGCTCTTTGCTGCATTGGATTCAAATGTACGGAGAGAAATATCGACTTGTCAAGTGTTGTATTTTTCACAACATCGACAGGTGACAATGCCTCTCACAATCCCATTTGCGTGTTGGATTATACCACGATGATACCAATATTTATATTTCGTCGAATTGTAGTTTATTTTGCGGAAGTCCATTACTACTACTTAATGGATTTATATTATTTTGTTTAATAACGCTATCATTTGCATGTGTGAGGTCACACTGCTACTGGAAACGTTACGACGTTCATTTTGGTGATAGAATTCCGCCTGTTATTAAATATTCTATATATATTACTCAAAGGACTTTTGACTGACGTAGTGATCTCTCAACGCACAGCCTAAACCACTAGACGGATCGTGCTGAAATTTAGCAGGTAGATGTTATGACGTAGGCATCCACTAAGAAAGGATTTTGATTAATTCTACCCCTAAAGAGATAAAATAGGGGATGAAAGTTTGTATGAAACTTTGTCAATTTGAAACTGATCGGGCTGAGACTTTGCATGTGTAAATCTACTATGACGTAGGCACCCCCTTTGAAAAGAGTTTGATAAATTCCACCCCTAAGGGGATAAATTAACGCGAGCGAAGCCGCGGGCAAAAGCTAGTTGAATGTACATCCAACACGTTTCGCCTCTTAACGAGGAATCATCAGGCAATGAATAGAGTTCGGGTATAGCTAGTAGGAGGTAGGAAGCCCAGTGCTGACTTTTCGATGACCAAACTGCGCCACAATAGATGCCTTTATATATCTAAATAATACCGATTAAATTTAAAAACTTTCCCTTCTCCTATTGGCTCTAAGCCAAATGACACGTCTTAATATGCTTTTAAAACTAGTATGAACTGGTAGTAAATATTAGTGTGTTAAGTGCTTAATTTATCTCGATGTATGAAGAGACTTGTCCTGAATGACTCATCAACAGCTTAATTGGCTGGGTCAAAAAAATTTTTTAATTAATTTCATTCATAATTTAAGAGTCACGCTCTTGTCGGTGGAGTTCTTACTATTGTCCACGATTATCCATCGATCTCTTTAGTTGTTGATATGACACGACTCCAACTGTATTTTTCTGGTCGTGTACAAGATCATTTGAAAAGAATAAGAGCTGAGTTTCTTGTCAGTTCATCTTAGATCTAAAGCATTCCTAACTGACGGTAAATTTGACATAAGAGTCTGTAATATCTGAAGATGTGCATACATATAGTTTTTTTGATTTGATTTGAGTATGTGGGGAAATTTGTTATAAACAAGTTAATGAATTAGGCATTACAATAACCTAGCGATAGTAATTAACACCCAGGACCATTTGCACAGCTCCATCTAATACCAGGCTGTGCGTAATATACACGGAAAATTCCCAAACCAATGCAAATAATAATACTCATAAATAACAGATGTTTGTATCGTGACATGAATCGAACCTTCGGAAGTAAAATGGTGTCTTAACCCGATCACCGAGTACGTCTATATATACGACTAATAAACTTGTAAAATGAGATTTATTCTTCCGTTGTTGCAGCTCCAAGAAGCGGCGGTCGCCGTCGCCGCCCATAAGATGCGTTCGCTTCTGGCGTACTACGCTGAAGCTGTGATGTCGGCAGCGACGCGCGGCGCCGGCTGCGCGCTGAGCTGCAGCGGACGCGGCGACTGCATGAACGGGACGTGTCTGTGTGAGATACGATATGCGGGAAACGAGTGCGCCGCCCCTAACATGCCGTATCATGCATGTGAGTATTATTGATAAACTTGCCATTTAAAAAGAGTTTTAGGCAAAGTAGATAATATTTTAGGTATACAATGTTAGGGGCCGTTCAAGTATTACGTAAGCACCATGGGGGAGGGGGTATTTGTTTTGCTTATTTTAAATGACATGGGGCTGGGGGAGTGTAGATGATGATTACGTCATCGGCAGTTATTTACTTTTTTGCGGAAATGACAACCCTCACATTGTCTTTGCTAAAAAACAATACATAAATTGAAAAATGTTTACGTACGCATGGCGATAAGAGCTTTGCTTACTTTTGCTGACAAGGTGGATGGGGGGTAATAATTGTAATAAACTGCTTATGTAATACTTGAAGGGCCCCTTATATTAATATGCTATTGTTATATATACAAATAGTATCTCAAGCGTTGACAGGAATATTACAAGTGTAGGCACAACCCCATCTTGGCAAATGACTATTTACCATGATGGTTTCGCAAGAGGGGGAACCGCGTGGAGTTCAACCTGACATTGCTAGCATAACACTTAATTAAAGTGTTAATTTCTCAAAGAACCTAGTATATCCCAATAGTAAGGGTTGGTCCCTTACGTTAGAACCTTGAGATACACAAATTCTCACAAGACAGTAAATTTTTACTAATGTATAATTTATAACAGACCTAAATTTATTTCCAAATAAATTAGTATAATACCAATTATTTGTCTTGAAAATGTTAATGTTTATTCTGCAAAAGACATGGGTAGGAAATTATTATAAAAAATAATAAGGGACCGATATTAGACCCTTGAGGTACATCTATTCAAACAAGAGGCAACAAATATGTAACAATTAGTACACATACAGTGGGTATGAGAATTAGCAGATACATGATTAAATATCCGCAGAAAGACTGGATAAAATTATGCGTATTATCTCGTGTCATGATAAAGTGCGTATCCAGCGCGTTCCATACGGTTATTATTTGATCCTTGAACTGCATTATCTAACACGTCAACATTCATGCGAATGTTTATGAAACTATCTATTTTAGTATCAAACTTATAGATATCTTCTACATACAATATCTTGACATTAACACCCTGCCTAAGCAGTAAACACGGTCATTGTTATTAAGATTAACATAAGAACAGATTGTATTATATGTTATCTGTGCATGACGAAGTATGAATGTAACGTTCCTTTTGTAAAAAATGGAATAGCATGTGCTGGTGATCACTATATTCTGCCTAATTAAATTTTAAGCTGAATCTATATTTTAGTAAACTTATACAAGCCAATTTGAAAAGAATAATAGCAGAGTTTCTTGTCAATTCGGAGTGCTCCAGCTAAGAGCACTCCGAACTGACGGTATATTTGACATATCATAAGAGCCTGTAATAGACCTACAAGAATAAAGTTATTTTGATTTGACTGTGCTAACAGCGTCTTTCATCCGATATCCGGTTTCGAATCCTCGCACAATTCTGCATAAACATTCGGCATTTTTGTTACGACTCCAACATAGATTTAACTTCAGTGTAAGGAGTCCGCAATACGACAGTGTTGAGTGTTCGCTTGTGATTATTCGCTCGTGATACGAATGATTATGCGGAAATTTTCCGCTGAGACTTATTTTACATTTCTTATATCGTTTTTTATTGTATATTTTAGTGTCGTTAATTTTGTTCATTTGGATAAACACTTTAAAGATCGTATTGAAATACCATATTTGTCACACCGGCATAATCTTTATTGTTAATTACGTATATTATTTTTTAAATATGTTTATAGCGTACAATAATTGGAGGTAGACATTATTTAACCCCTAGATTTATTTCAATTAAAGTGCCCACGGGTGATCAACCGGTCCCAACGTGTAAATTTACTTTCGTTGCGGAGTGACCCACCGGTGGGCATGCGGCCTTTAACGTTTTAAATGCTTAAATCGGGAAGTTTTTGCAACTTGCCACTCATTGGTTGTTTACAATTTGCTTTGGTTGTTGCGCGAGGCCCTGCATGAGCGAGGCATTGTCCTTCGTCGCCTCCTAAAGCCGCCACTGGTCCTATCATCCTTCTCTCATTAAAAAATGACACGTTTTTTATTTTCCAGGTATTGGAGGCGTGTTCCTGCTGGTTGCGTTCGTGTGTGCCGTGCAGTTGATGATATGCATCGTAACCGAGTACAGGCGGCTGAAGGCGCCGACCTTCCTCCGAGCGTGTAAAGTGACGACGCAGAAGATGCTGTATCTTGTCGCATTTCTGGCGTCCCTCATTCGCGGCGCTTACTTCGTATCGCCGGTAAGTGGTATTTTAATACCACAGGTAGATTCTAACTCCATTTTGGTCGCTTGTAGATCGATGGCATCATCTCACCACTGTAGCTTTATATATGACTACCTGTGCCTGCGTTTTCATCCGCGTTAAATTTATTAGCCTATATGTTACTCCGATGTATAAGCTAAATTGCTGTAATACCAACTATTTGTCTTAAAAACGTAACATGAAAGTGTCAATGTTTCAAATTCAATTTAAAAAAAAATCTACAAAAAACCTCGGAAGGAAATTATTATAGAAAATTAGAAGGGACCGATATAAGACCCTTGAAGTACATCTATTCAAATAAGAGGCAACAAATATGTAACAATTAATACAGATTCATTTAATTTCAAACTTGGGAGAATAGAGAATGATTTCAATATAACAATTTTTTTTTATTGCAGTCAGCATTCCAAGAGGGATGGGCGACCAGTCTACTGTCAGCTTACTACCCGTTGCTTATGTCGGGGTCGTCGTTGATCGTCTGCTTCTGGGCAGAGGTGAGTACAACCCTAGCTATTTTATATAAACTAGCTATGCCCGCGAAGTCACCCGCGGGAATTTTTGAATATTTTATTCTATATATGTAGAAATAAAACAAGACTGAACTGATCCACTGGCAATGTCGATGAAACTATATAACAAACTACTGGAATATAGTAAAATAAAACTATCACAGTTTTATTTTATACATAACTTAAAACAACTACTGTTAGATATATCAACTCTATGTACTAGTAAAAGTATGTATTATAATAAAATAACAACTATATAACATTAATTTAACTATGTCTCTAACACAATTCACTTTAGCAATTAAAATACAAGCAGCACATCCTGTGCTCAAAGACCGAATGCCGCGGCCTACAAAAACCCTCCCTTTTATACAGAGAAGATATGAGTGGGGGTTATATGCAACTAGTTTAACGATACCGAGTAATAATGAAACCTTCTTTTAATATAAAATATCAGATTTTTCGACAATATCGATGTGAACCCTAACACTACTTATAAATAATAAAATCTAAATATATATAACTCAAAGGTGACTGACGTAGTGATCTATCAACGCACAGCCCAAACCACTGGACGGATCGGGCTGAAATATGGCATTCAGGTAGATGATACGACGTAGGTATCCGCTAAGGAAGCATTTTGATTAATTCTACCCCCAAAGGGATAAAATAGGGGATGAAAGTTTACATGAAACTTTGTTAATTTTAAACCGATCGGGCTGAGACTTTGCATGCATAGAGCTACTATGACGTAGGCATCCCCTAAGAAAGGATTTTGATAAATTCCATCCCTAAGGGGATAATTTACCGCGAGCAAAGCCGCGGGCAAGAGCTAGTCAGTATATATACACATAGATCAGAAATTATACAAAATATTTAAAGTCTGTTAATGCTCTACCTCACATTGTAACTTATTGCCCATCAGGGGCCATAGTGTTCCTATAATATTTATATGTCAACCTTTATAGTTACACTACGGAATGTAAATAAATAAATATATTTGTTATGCTTTAAAAAAAATACGTGCCAGTTGAAAATCATCTCGATTACGTCAGCTTTCAATCCAGAAAGAATGCAACCTTCGCTTATTTATTTAGTAGTTACGTTGCCACATAAACACAGACGCATAACATCCCTCATTTGTTTTCTATAAAAAAAAGAATAACAATGAAATTTTTAACTTCAGTACAAATATTATTTGTGATTTAGCGCCATCTGTTAATTATTACGGTACTACAATGAGATATGTAGATGCCTTCTTGATTGATTGTTTCTGTTTCTTTACATAGATGGCACTGTTTGTCTTACTTCTTAAGAATATTATAAACGCGAAATTTTGGAAGGATAGATGGATGTTTGTTACTATTTTACGCGAAGTTTTTAAAAATATAGCTTATACAACAGGATAACACAGGCTGTAAATTTGACGCGGGATAAGAACGAGAAAGTTTGATCGGGTGCTTGGAGGTTTGTTACTATTTTACGCAAAGGATTTCAATAAAACTTTATAATAATACAGATTATATATCAGAATAAGACATTGGTTATATATTTGGCGCGGAAACCGCGATAAATCTAACTATACATCTATACATATAAATAAAATTGCAGTGTCTGTTTATAATATTGAAATAACCGTTTTTTACTGCACGCATATGAATATAAATACGGAATATACACAATAAAAATACTTTTTAAAATTTTTGTCTGTCTGTCGTTCTGTTTGTTCCGGCTAATCTCTGAAACGGCTGAATCGATTTTACCGAGACTTTTTTTGGCAGCTAGCTGATGTAATAGGGAGTAACTTAGGCTACTTTTATTTTGGAAACATTATTTTATTTTAGAAAAATAAAGTATAATTCCACGGGGTAGTAAGTTGCGGGTACAGCTAGTTGTTAATAAGAGTGCTTGACAATAGATGGCGACAGCGTCAAAAAGTATATGAACCAAAATTGCGTTACATAGACTTTTAAATAAAATAACTGATCTGGACAATTAACACAGCGCCGTCTAGTCCCACGGTAAGCAGAGCTTGTGTTATAGGTACCAGCGATACTTATCGGATTTCCGATATAAAAAATATTCGTAACCGTAACCGAATCCGAAGTAAAAGTTTCGGATAATATCGGATAGGGGCGGAGCTTAATTAAGACACGTTACATAAACATTTTATTAGCTATTTGTATTTTACTTTTGAAATTCCTTAAAAAATTAATATCCGTAACCGAAATTATCCGAAACTAATGGATAATTTATTTATTTATTTATATAACTTCAATGCACACAATACCAAGGTAAAAGTACATATGGCGGACTAATGTAATGTATAATGTGAATGACTATGGATAATCCGAAATAATTTCATATCCGCATCCGAATCCGTATTCGGTATAATAATGATTCCTATTTCCGAAACCTATCCGTATCCCAAATTTCATATCCATAACATCCCCGATAGGTACTAGACAACTGATAATAAATACTTAGATATTTTTTTGTAACATACATTATAATTTAAATTAATTTTATATTATATAATTTTAATTTCGACCCTAATTAATTTAAATTATAAGTTTGAACATTACTATTGTCAAAGACTATATTCTATAAACTATAAGTGTGCGAAATTTCATACAGTCCGTCCGCATAATTTTTGTAAAAAAATGTACAAAATGTTTGTTTCACGTATTATATGTCTTATATATAAACTTGTCCACGGCTTCGTTCGCGTTAAGAAGTATTATTATTAATCAGGTATAGTTTTTGCGGCTTTATTTTTGTTTAGCGTGTTCAAAAAATTAGGGCCTACAAAATTTCTTTGTACACAATATTCTTAACTAATCTATTGTCAACATTTAGAACTAAAATTTATTTTGTTCGTCTTAATTTATTCGTTCCATTAGGTACTGATAGGTTCAAACTAATACATTTACATCCTCCATCATCCCTTATTTTATCCCCATGGGGGTTGAATTTATCAAAATCCTATTTAATCGAACGTCTTCATCATAGTAGCTCCAATCTTTAATTTCAGTTCAACCAGTCGAAAATCTAAGAACATTTATACAAACTTTCATTCCCTATTTTATCCTTTTAGAAGTGGAATTTATCAAAATCCTTTCTTAGGGGACGCCTACGTCATAATAGCTTAATGCATGCAAAATCTCAGCTCGATCGGTTTAAAATTGACAAATTTCATACAAACTTTCATCCCCTATTTTATACCCTTGGGGGTAGAATTAATCAAAATCCTTTCTTAGCGGATGCCTACGTCATAACATCTACATGCATGCCAAATTTCAGCCCGATCCGTCCAGTGGTTTGGGCTGCGCGTTGATAGATCACTATGTCAGTCAGTCAGTCACCTTTGAGTTATATATATTTAGATTCTCGTGCGGATATATATTCAGATATAGTTTATGACTTAATAAAAAAAAGGTTAATTATGTATTCTAATGTTCTCATTGAGATGTCATGACACTTTATTAATAATCACGTAATACAGATTCCTTATGATCAATAATTGCCTTGATCAAAATAGTATCAATGTCAAAGTGTTAGTTACCATACTCCTCCGAAACGGCGTGACCGATGTTTATGAAATTTTATATGCATATTCAGTAGGTCTGAGAATAGGCTACTATCTATTTTTCATACCCCTAAATGATAAGGAGCCCCTAAATATTTTTTTTATTTGGTCGACAATATTTTATTTTTATATTTTTGTAATGTGGTGTTAAAAAATACATACAACCCTAAATTTTCGCCCTTCTAGCAACTATCAACTCAATTTTTTTAATAGCGCTTTTAATTTATATGGTAAAACGTTTGCGGAGTCAGTTACTATTATATATCTATATATATAGAAATGAATTGCTGTTCGTTAGTCTCGCTAAAACTCGAGAACGGCTGAACCGATTTGCCTAATTTTAGTCTTGAAATTTTCGTGGAAGTCCAGGGAATGTTTAAACGGTGATAAGATATGAAGAAATTGCATGTAAAGTAGTAAAACAACAATTGTATTTTCCCATACAAACGACTGACACCTGTCAAACAGGGTGGGTTCAGAAATTTATTGCGTAACTAAACTTCAAAAAACCTTTGATATATTTAATTTTGAGGCGGAATGGAGTTCACGGGGTCAGCTAGTATTTATATATAATACTAGCTTACCCCGCATACGTTGTTTTGCCATTAATAAAAAATTAAAATCGCTATTAAAAATAGGGGTCGGTGGTAGAAGGGTGAAGATTTGGGGTTGTATATAATTTGTAATGCGACTTTCTGAAAAATAAAATTTTGTCCTAAAAATAAATAAAATGTTAGGGGTGGACTCTTACGCTTAGGGGTATGAAAAATAGTAGCCGATTCTCAGACCTACTGAATATGCCTATAAAATTTCATAAAAATTGGTCAAGCCGTTTCGGAGGACGTTACGGTAACTAACATTGTGACACGAGAATTTTATATATAAGAGAACGATCGTAAGTGCACATGTCTAAAAAAATAATTATTTCATAGAGACATGACATTTGTGTTCTGTTACATAGGAAGGTGACAATTAAGTTACGGTACAACTAACTGATAAGAGAATTATGGAATTTAAGATGCTATCAAGTACACGTGTAGGCACACGAGGCTACCACATGCTAGGATTGTCATCTTCTGTCGTGTGTTAATTGTTTTTTAATAGACAAGAAAGAAAATATGTTCTCACACATTTTCCTTAATAATAATATTACGAAAATTTCTGGAAATAGACGTAAATGACAAATCACCTATCACAATTAAAAGGTTCACAATATATACTCACACACACGCACTCACACGCGCAAATGCGCATACATGCACACAGACACACTCCATTGCACTTTCTTGGTTTTGGCCCGTAAGTGTGGTATACGCCACAACGCGTAAAAACCCAACAAAAAGGTTGAGAAAGCGAAACATACAAATAATAATAATTTCTATACGCACTGCCAAAG